TCCTTCCTCTGCCTGTGCGCATTTGTCACTCACTCACTCGTCAGGAACCCGCTGGAGACCAGAAGGCTTGGGGAGGGCTTGCCCTCCACACCCTCCGCTTCCCCCCACCCCCAGGCCCTGGCACTGAGCCTGCCACACGCTGTGCCCAGTGTTCCCAGCCCTGGCCTAGCACTCTGGAGGCAGGGCCTGTCTCTAAGCCTTATTTCACCCGTGGGGAACTAAGCCTGGGAGATGTGAAGTCACCTGCTCCTTTCTCTGCTAGTGGGCGACAGAGACCTCCTTGAGCGCTGGCCTGTGCTTCCACCTCCAGGCATGCTCCCCCTGCTCGGGGTCCCCCCAACGAAAGTGGTTTGGGAAGCCCCATTTCTGTCATCTTGCTCTCCTGAGAGCTAGGTGGGGCATCTGTTACTGTCCCCATTTTATGGATGGGAAGGCCAGGGTGCCAATAGGGGAAGGTGACCCAGCTCCCAGACAGTGCCTCTTTGCACCGAGCTGCATGCAAGAACAGTCAGGACAGGGGGCACCTGTGGTGGTGGCTTTGGGGCCAGAGCCCTGCTGTCCGTCCTGGGGTGGGGGTTGCTGCAGCGTCTCAGGGAGGGTGGAGTCTGGGTGGGACAGGCCCACCCTTTGGTACTTAGGCCCACCTTTTATAAAATGTGGGCATGTCTACGACATAGTCTCCATTTTCTCAGATGGGGGAAACTGAGGCCTTGAGTGGGAAGCCATTGAGCCCCTCTGCTAGGAGGCAGTGCTGACGTGAAAGCAAATCCAGGGGGGACAAATGCACTGTCCAGCAAGAAGCCCCCCCCACCTTCCTGTGCTTCCTGCCCGCAGCCAGGGGTACCTCATGGATAGCTGTCTTCATACCCCCTTCCCTTTACAGACACACGATTTCTTCCCCGAGCCTCAGTTTTCTCACCTATGAAATAGGACGGTACGTTGGCCATCTCTGAGCTTGTTGGAAGGTTCTGGGCTTAGCAGGTGCATTGTCATTCCCTAAATGGGGAGCTCATGCAGAGGGGCTCACTGCGTGTCACCCTGCTTCTGGCTGGGTCCTTGCACTAGTGACTGGCACTCCCACCTGTGGGGATGCATTTCCTTCCTCAGGGTCCCCAAGGTTGGGCAGGAACAGGGAGGGGCCCAGAACTTCAGCTTCCTCCCTCAGTGCCACATCCCCCTGGAACCTGACTCTGCCCCTCTTCCACACCACACCCTGCGGTGGTATCCTGCCCTCCCCTCCCCTCAGGTGCTCAGGATTTATTGACCACTTGCCCTCTGCGTTCAGGAGCCTTCATGACGAGTGGTTAGTGTTGGGCTGCGATCTGCAAGATCAGCAGTTCAAAATCACCAGCTGTTTAAAGGGGAAGGACAGAGCTTTCTACTTCAGTGAAGAGTGACCTGACCGTCTGAGAACCTCCCGGGCAGGTCTGCCCTGTCCTGTAGTGACCCGGTGAGTGGGCACCGACTCCATGGCAGGGAGTTTGGGTTTAGGTTTTGCATGCAGTACCTTCTTATCATCAGGGAGCAGCTGCTTGCCCCAGGTGATATGCCTTAAAAGGCCTCTCCTCCACTAGGGCCCCACCCCACCCCCCAAGTGTGACAGCCACTGACTTCCCAGCAGACCTGGGAGTTAGCCTCTGGGTTTATATGCTAAGAGCTTGAGGCTGAGAGCCAGGGAGGAGCTGGCTCGGGCACGCAGTGAAGTCACAGGTCTCTAGCTTGTCTGCGCTTATTATCACTCTGCTATCACTCTGCGGGCTTCCCTCCCTCATTCTTGCAAGGGCCACCTTGCGCTGGGAGGCAGACACCTGGCCTTTTCCTCTTGGGACCTGGCTGGGGGCTGGGGACCCTTCTGTGATTGATATTCCTGAGGACTAAAGCCTTGGCTTTGGTATCTGCACACCTTCCTGATTTGCCCCGGCATCTCATCCAGGAGAGAGGCGGTGAGATGGCACATGGGTGTAGCTAGAGGATCCCAGCCCTGCTGTGTCTCAGCTTTGTATACTGGCGCCGTTCTTCACCTCTCTGGGCCCCCCCATGCCCCCTTGCCCGGTGGGAGTTGTGGCAGCGCTGCCCTGAGAAGTCCCCAGGCTCTGCAGGTTCAGGGTTAGCCCAGGGTCCAGGTGCATTGCCCTCACCAATGGGAAGTGGAATGGTAGAAGCCCTTCTGCTTCGGATCCATTTCCTGACCTCTGCCTCAACGCTAGCCCCCACTGCCCCAGTGAACGAGGTGGTCTCCTCTGTGGGCCCTTCCCAGCAGAGCTAAGCCTGTCCTGCTGTCACCATGACTACCCATCCCAGCACAGGTCCAGCTCCCTGTGTCACTCCCACACCCCCACTGGGGCCTGGCCGAGGGGCAGGGGCAGGTGCACCCAGGAGAATGGACTGTTCCCGCACTCAGGCAAGTTGTATCCCAGGGGTGCTTGTGGTCGTGTCCCACCTCGGAGCCAGAGGGAGTCAGGGTCGGGAAGACAGCAGGGGCCCAGAGGTGACTGACTCCTCACTGTGAGGGAATGGGCTGCTCCCTGTGTCACACACACACACACACACATCCACACTCACACTCGTACACACACACACATACTCATGTGAGCATACACACACGCGAGCACACATAAACACACACATACGCACGCACATACATACACATACACACTCACACACATGTACACTCACATACACATACTCTCACACATACACACATACCACACACATGCATTCTCACACACACACACACACCTCTGCTCCCCCTCCCTCCTCCGCTGAGATGAGTGAACTTGTGACCACATCCTGTCTGGTCATAAACTACCCCCACCCCAAATGTTTGGCGTCCTGCCTGTGATGGCCTGGCCGTCTCCTGCAGGGACTCCCGGACAGGCTGTTGCATGCCTCAGGCTGGCTCCTCTGGGCCACCCCTCCCTTCTGGCCTCATCCTCAGGCCTCCACCCCTGAGCCAGGAAGTGAGGGAAGGCGCCTTTCCTCTGGGCTGGAGGCGGGCTTTGTGATTCAGCAGCCCCCCACCCCAGTGCCACTTTTCCAGGAGTGTGGGTGGTGAGGAGCCAGTTGGTCATTAGAGGGCCTGAGGCTTTCCTGGGGGGTGGACAGAAGGCCTGGCCTCACCAGGAGGGCCGTCCCTTGGGTGGGAGCCACCAGCCTAGGGCGGTAGTGGTGTCTGCTGGCCCCTCAGTGACCTGAACTTTGGTAACCCTGGGAGGGGGCAGGGAGGCCCAACTTCTGTGCCTGGTTTCTCTCCGCCCCACCTGTGTGCCTGTAGGGCTAAACTCTGCCCCCGCACAGCAGGGAGCACGTGGACTTGGCCTTGGAGAAACGGCTCCGCCCCTCCTAGCAGAGTGACATGAAGACAGCCCCTGCCCCCTGGGGCAAGCACTGAGCCTGCTGATTGGCACTGACCCCAGTGGGCGCTTGGCAAAATGTGTGGCAGCCACCACCTATGTTAAGTACTTGTTTCCACCTCCCTGGGCTCCGTCGGTCCAGGTCCAGAGCTGTCCCAGCCTTCTTAGAAAAGCTGGGGATGGATGGGCAGTGCTTAGCATTTGTAGGAGGTCCTCTTTCCTGAAAGGTTAGTTACCATTGGCAGTACGACTAGTATCAGTCATCAAAATACAGTGGCCCGTCCAGTGCCAAAGCCCAGGCACACTGCCTCCTCCTCTCCCCCAGAGAGCCAGGCATTTGACAAAGCCCAGCTTCTTAAAGTGCTACACTCTAGCCCACGAAATAGGATGTCTTGTAAAACCACAACCTTATTTTTTTAATACACAGAAAAAAGATTAGACGGCTATTAAACCCAAACCAAACTCCCTGCCTTCAAGTCACAGGGCCCTCTAGGGCAGGCAGAAGGACCCCTGTGAGTTCCTCAGGCTGTAACTGGTGACAGGAGAAAGCCTCGTCCTCCCCCGCCTCCCGCAGAGCGCCTGGTGGATCAGAACCGCTGACCTTGTACAGGCTAGTCCAGCCCAGCTCGCGGCCACCACACCACCAGGGCTCCTCAGAGGGGTGACTCACCCTAGACTGTGTTTACAGGGACTTTCTTTGATTGTCCTGGGGCTTCTGCAAGCCTTTCAGAGAGTTCCGTGACCATGTACGCCCTCGGCCTCCGGAACAGAACGCCTCACCTGCGGTGGAGGCGGTCCAGGCGGATGTGATTCCCTCCTCCGTGTTTGTCCTGCCGCACCCCTCCTGGCTGTCACTGGCTGGAGGCATTCTGAATGCGGCTTCCCTCTCAGTGTTCCCCAGCTTGGCCACGCAATCCAATCCCTGAACCCACGCGATACAAGTCCACTGGAGACCTCTGCTGACTCTCAGTGTTGTCTGTGTACAGCCACACTCATCGTTTCATCCTGCGCAGGGCCAGGGGTCATCTGGGGTTGGGGTGGAGAGCGGTCTTACTTCCTAATCTGCTTCTGTTTGGCTCACTCCCCTAGGCGCCCATCCTGACAGCCCTGTGTTTGTCTGTCCAGTCCCATGCCCCCGAAGCCTAGCACCCACGCCCAGGTAGACTTTTCTCAAAAGTCATTCTCGTTTCACCCGCTCGCCTGCAGTTTGCTTCTCTCGGGTGGTGTGGAAATCCCCTCGGGCCCCTGGTAAGGGTGGGCGGGGTCGGACTGGATGTCTGCATCCTGTTCCCGGGTGGACTGGGAGTTACAAACAAGACCTGCGGGCACTCTGATCACAAATAGGAAGGGCTTGAAAGGCAGGAATTCCCGAATGGGCTTCCTGGAAGAGCCCCAGATTCTAGTGTGAGGGCCGGCGGGCTGGGAGAACCAGGAGGCCGCCTTCTGACCCGCCTGTGTGGACCCAACTTCCCAGCACGCCTTGATCTGCTACATGGAGACACCTCTCACTGCCCCCAGCCCTCCAGCCCCCCATGGTTTGTGGTGAAGGGCAAGGCTAGGACTCTCAGCGGTCTCCCTTCCCTGACCACGGGTTCCCCAGAAAGCCAGGCCGCTCCGTGGTAACCTGTGCTTGTGGGTCCCTTTCAGGGTGAACCATGATTCCAGTGACGGAGCTCCGCTACTTTGCGGACACGCAGCCCGCGTACCGGATTCTGAAACCATGGTGGGACGTGTTCACCGACTACATCTCCATCGTCATGCTGATGATTGCCGTTTTCGGTGGGACGCTGCAGGTCACCCAGGACAAGATGATCTGCCTGCCTTGTAAGTGGGTCACCAAGGATTCCTGCAATGACTCATTCCGGGGCTGGGCAGCCCCCAGCCTGGAACCCACATACCCCAATGCGACAATCCTGCCCACCCCTGACACCGGCCCCACAGGCATCAGGTACGACCTGGACCGGCACCAGTACAACTATGTGGATGCCGTGTGCTATGAGAATCGGCTCCACTGGTTCGCCAAGTACTTCCCCTACCTGGTGCTCCTGCACACCCTCATCTTCCTGGCCTGCAGCAACTTCTGGTTCAAGTTCCCACGTACCAGCTCGAAGCTGGAGCACTTCGTGTCCATCCTGCTCAAGTGCTTCGACTCGCCCTGGACCACGCGAGCACTGTCCGAGACCGTGGTGGAGGAGAGCGACCCCAAACCGGCCTTCAGCAAGATGAATGGCTCCATGGACAAGAAGTCCTCCACGGTCAGCGAGGACGTGGAGGCCACCGTGCCCATGCTGCAGCGGACAAAGTCGCGCATCGAGCAAGGCATCGTGGACCGCTCGGAGACGGGCGTGCTGGACAAGAAGGAGGGGGAGCAGGCCAAGGCGCTGTTTGAGAAGGTGAAGAAGTTCCGGACCCACGTGGAGGAAGGAGACATCGTGTACCGCCTGTACATGCGGCAGACCATCATCAAGGTGATCAAGTTCATCCTCATCATCTGCTACACCGTCTACTACGTGCACAACATCAAGTTCGACGTGGACTGCACCGTGGACATAGAGAGCCTGACAGGCTACCGCACCTACCGCTGTGCCCACCCGCTCGCCACCCTCTTCAAGATCCTGGCCTCCTTCTACATCAGCCTGGTCATCTTCTACGGCCTCATCTGCATGTACACGCTGTGGTGGATGCTGCGGCGCTCCCTCAAGAAGTACTCGTTCGAGTCCATCCGCGAGGAGAGCAGCTATAGTGACATCCCCGATGTCAAGAATGACTTCGCCTTCATGCTGCACCTCATTGACCAGTACGACCCGCTCTACTCGAAGCGCTTCGCCGTCTTCCTGTCGGAGGTGAGTGAGAACAAGCTGCGGCAGCTGAACCTCAACAACGAGTGGACGCTGGACAAGCTGCGGCAGCGGCTCACCAAGAATGCGCAGGACAAGCTGGAGCTGCACCTGTTCATGCTCAGTGGCATCCCTGACACGGTGTTCGACCTGGTGGAGCTGGAGGTGCTGAAGCTGGAGCTGATCCCCGACGTGACCATCCCGCCCAGCATCGCCCAGCTCACGGGCCTCAAGGAGCTGTGGCTGTACCACACGGCGGCCAAGATCGAGGCTCCCGCCCTGGCCTTCCTCCGCGAGAACCTGCGGGCCCTGCATATCAAGTTCACCGACATCAAAGAGATCCCGCTGTGGATCTACAGCCTGAAGACCCTGGAGGAGCTGCACCTGACCGGCAACCTGAGCGCTGAGAACAACCGCTACATCGTCATCGATGGGCTGCGGGAGCTCAAGCGCCTCAAGGTGCTGCGGCTCAAGAGCAACCTGAGCAAGCTGCCCCAGGTGGTCACAGATGTGGGGGTGCACCTGCAGAAACTGTCCGTCAACAACGAGGGCACCAAGCTCATCGTCCTCAACAGCCTCAAGAAGATGGTGAACCTGACGGAGCTGGAGCTGATCCGCTGTGACCTGGAGCGCATCCCCCACTCCATCTTCAGCCTCCACAACCTGCAGGAGATCGACCTGAAGGACAACAACCTCAAGACCATCGAGGAGATCATCAGCTTCCAGCACCTGCACCGCCTCACCTGCCTTAAGCTGTGGTACAACCACATCGCCTACATCCCCATCCAGATCGGCAACCTCACCAACCTCGAGCGCCTCTACCTGAACCGCAACAAGATCGAGAAGATCCCCACCCAGCTCTTCTACTGCCGCAAGCTGCGCTACCTGGACCTCAGCCACAACAACCTGACCTTCCTCCCCGCCGACATCGGCCTCCTGCAGAACCTGCAGAATCTGGCCGTCACGGCCAATCGGGTGAGTGACCTGGCCACCGCCCACCGCAGGGGCTGGCGAGGGAGACTGCTCGGGACTCTCTGGTGCCCGGTGGCTCCAGACTCTGCACCTGTGGTTCTCCGAACCGCCCAGGAAGGAATTTGCTCAAAACACACACTCCGCGGTCCCACCCCAGGCCTGCTGAATCACACTCCGTGGTTGGGCGCCCCAGTCATTCTGAGTCTTTGCCATAGAATGCTACATAGTTGTCCTGGCCGAGGGAGGGCTGCCAGCAGGGATGGTGTGGGCTGCTGGGCCCCCCCCACCAACCTGCCCTTGGAGCCATGATCCCAGGATGTGCATGTGCGGAGGACCCTGCGGATCCTTCTCTCTCTCTGGGTTTGGAAAGGAGGAGCCAGGCCGGAGCTTGGAGGCTAGCTTCCTCTGCTTGCCCCCAGCTGGGTTTGGAGGCCTGGGGCCAGCAGAGCTGGGGAAACTAGGCCGCCGGGCTTGCTGAAGTGAAGTCAGGTGGTGTCTGCAGCTGGTGAAGAGCAGAGTTCGCGTGGGGGGCTGCTCTTTGGTCACCTGCCTTGCTGGAGAACCAGCGGCAAATCACTGAGGCGACTTGGGAAGGTGAGGGGAGGCCGTACCTGCAAAACCACTGGTGGCAGCCCCACCTGGCTTCTGCCCAGCCAAGGGTGAAGCCACAGCTGGAAAGGCCCCTCGCCAGAGGGAGGCAGGTGCAGTGAAGGGCAGGTTCTCCTATGGCTCTGCGGTCTGGGCTTCTGCAGGGGGAACAAAGCACAGCGGCCAGGAGGACCCCCTCCCCACCCCTCCCAGCGCTGCCTAGGAACCCCCAGAGAGGCTGTCAGTTCAATGAACACGCCTTCCGGGTCCTGACTGACAGGGTTCTTGTGGTTCAGGATGGTGGTGGGAGTCTGAGTCCCAGGCTTGGGAGATGAAGGGGAGGCCTGCTTCACCCTCACCTTTGCCCCACCCCACCCCAATCATAGGCAGTAGTGCTAACATAGCCCCCATTTGTTTACTGAGCCTCTTCTCACTTAGTCTGTGGCTGGTATGAGACACCGTCCCACTGAATCCTCCCCACAGGAGGCAGCAGTCTAGGCACACAGGAAGGAGCACCCCACACATTCTCTCTCCCTGTCTCCCCATCTCCTCATGTCTCCATCCATCTATCCATCCTCGCCTTCCCCAGCACTCGTCAGAAACCCTCCCTCTTCTCCCCTTGCAAACTCACTTGTCTCGTGTGCACATTAGGGATTGGGACAGAATCCCTAACGAACGCACACCCGTGGGGAGAGGGGTGAGGGTTATATCCGAGGCTGCTTGATTGTGGACAGTCCCTTGGGAAAGAAGCCCAGTTGGAGTGTAACAGACAGAGGGCTTGCCCACAGCGCCCTGTTGGAACTGCATCATTTACCCCTGGAGTGGGCGCTGACATTCCTCTGCCCTCCCACAATCCTTTCTGATGAATGCCTTGTTCTGGGGGTTGTACCACGCTCCACCTGCTCCCCTGCTAGGTAGAGGAGGGTTTAGGCTTAGAGCCTGGCTGCCCATTCTTTCTGCCCCATCTGCATTGCCCCACACCAAGCATGCCTGTTGGCTGAGGTCACCTCTCAGGAAAGGCACCGGCAGAGGAAGGAGACCCTGTTTAGCACACTGCTTTATCACATCCGGTCCCCACCCACAGAACACCAGAGGCCTTTCTAGGGAAAAAACAAACAAAAAAAACACGTTAATTTGGGTCCATTCCAGTCAGGCTCCTCCTTTGGAGCTTGAGACCTGAACCTCTCTCCTGGATGGTTCTCACGGCTTGATGGCTCCCATGAACCACTGGGGTAGGGAAGGGGCGGGATGGTGCAGGCCTTGGCTCAGCCCCTTAGATGTGGCGTTCCCTTTGGGTTTAACCTGATGCTAAGGAATACTTCCGCCATTCATCTGTCTGTCGGCTGATCGCACTCTGGTCGTTTGTGCGTGGCTGTGATGCTGGTAGTGGGCCCACCCGTATTTCAAACACCAGCAGGGTCACCCATGGTGGACAGCTTCATAGAACTCCCAGGCTCAGACAGACTAGGAAAAAGGTCCACAAGATCTATTGCTTTGAAAAGTCCTCCAGTGGAAACCTTACGCACAGCAGGGGGACGTCGTCTGCTACAGTGCCAGAGGAGCCCCTCCGTGTGGAAGGCACGCATAACCCGACTGAGGAAGACCTGCCCCCTCCAAATCACGTTGCCCTAAGCATGTGGACGGAGCAAAGCTTTGGGGACCTTCATTTGCTGATTGGCCCGACTTACAGTGAGCAGCAGCAGCTGTGCCCTTCGACTAATGATCGCAGCATGAACTGTGTGGAATACAAATTTAGGGAAGTGGAAGTTGTCCAGGAACACAGTGGAACCCTGGGACACGGACACCCCAGGCCTCGGAACTGCAACAGACCGGCATTGACCATTTCGAATCAGACAGGTCATCGATCTCGGCAACGAAAAACCGAAGAGGAGCAGCATCAAACTCATCACCTAGAAGGACACTCAAAGCTCTCTCCTGAAGTACGTCAGTGATAGACTGGTTAATATTACTCAGCTTAATGCATCTGCCACTAAGGCCAATTGAAGATTCTTACCAATTTCTGTGATCTGGAATGGATCAAACGTGCAGCCAAGACACATTGAGGACATTGTGTTGTGCAATAACTCAATCACAAAAGGACAGGCTCTTATAAAGTCGATGAAAGGTGTTCACCCTAAAGCAGCGGTTCTCAACCTGTGGGCCTCGACCCCTTTGGGAATCAAACAACCCTTTCCCAGCGGTCACCCTAATTCATAACAGTAGCACAATTACAGTTGTGAAGTAGCAACAAAAATAGTTTTATGGTTGGGGGTCACTACAACATGAGGAACTGTATTAAAGGGTTGCGGCACTAGGAAGGTTGAGAACTACTGGCCTAAAGGAAACCTTTCGACGGTCACCAGGGGTGGGAAGGAACATGTGGGTAGATTACTGACCGTCTGTCGGTGTGCCACACTGTGGTGGCTTGTGTGTTGCTGAGATGCCAGAAGCGACATCACTGGTGTTTCAGATACCGGCACCGGCACCGAAAGTGAGCAGATTTCAGCAGAGCTGCTTGATCAAGAATAAGACTACAAAGAAGGACTAGGCTGTCCGCTTCAGAGGAAGTAGCCGCTGGCAAACTTTGTGGACCACATGGAAACATTGGCAGATAGTGAGGGCCTAGCGAACAGTTGTGGGGACGGCACCGGACCAGGCATGGTTACTCCATTGTACACGGGTCTCTGCGAGTCAGAAGCAGCTTGATAGCACCTAATAACACCAAAAAGAATGAACACCCATCCGTTTCAGGAGGTGATGTCTCATTCGATGGCACTGAAGGAAGAAGTTGAAGCTGCACAGAAGGCATTAATGGAAAACAGAGCTCCAGGAATTGATGCAGTAACAATTGAGATATTTCAACAAATTGATGTGATGTCAGAAGTGCTCACCTGTTATTCTCTGGGCCAACAAATTTGGAAGGCAGGTGTCTAGCCAACCGACTAGAAGAGGTAACCCAACAGAATGAGAATTTTATTGAACAATATTATTAATGTCACACTTAAGTGAAATTTGGCTGGCAGTCATTCAAAAGCAGTTGCAGCAGTTTATTAACAGGGAGCTGTCAGAAATTCAAGCCAAATTCAAAAGAGGATGTGGAACTAGAGCTGTCATTGCTGATGTCAGATGAATGGTGGCTGAAAGCAGAGAATACCAGAAGGATCAGTCAGAGCAAGTTATGAGTAGCACTGTGAAGAACGAGAGCGCTGAGACACTAAATGGTGCTTGTGCAGAACCTGTACCTAGACCAGGAAGCAGTCGGTCAAACAGAACAAAGGATACCGCATGGTTTGAAAATCAAGGTAGGAAAGGAGCAGGGTTTTATCCTACCATACTTACTTAGTTGGCTGAGCAAATAATGCAAGAGACTGGGCTATATGACGAAGCACACAGCACTAAGGCTGGAAGAAGCAGCCTATGATAGCATATGACACACCTTGCTTCCTTTCAAGCAGAGGACCTAAAGCGCTTACTGATGAAGATCAAAGACTACACCCTTCAGTGTGGAAGACCAAACCAAAGTCCCCCGCTCACTGCCAGTGACTGGAGGACCCCCGTTGTGACTCTAGCACAGGGTAGAACTGCCCCTGTGAGTTTCCGGGACTGGAAATCTTCATGGGGATAGCAGGGCCCGTCCTCCTCTCGTGGAGCAGCTGATGGTTTCGAGCTGCTGACCTTGCAGTGAGCAGCCTGACCCATAGCTGTTGATCACCAAGCTCCTCTCAGTGTGGGATCCACTTGACCAAACTCACTGCCATGGAGTCGATCCCAACTCACCGCCACACCATAGGACAGCGTAGGAGTGTCCCTATGGGTCTCTGAGACTAACTTTTCAAGGGACTAGAAGCTTCTTCTCTCTGTCAAAGAGCAGCTGGTGGTTTTGAACTGCTGACCTTGTGGTTGGCAGTCCAGCGTGTAACTACTACACCACCAGGGCTCCCTTAAAAAAAAAAAAGTCTTCACAACTGGATTAGTAAGCAACATCATGATAGCGTTTCCAAGGCTGCAGGTCTTTCTCTCTTGGAGTGGCTAGTAGGTTTGAACTCCTGAGCTTGTGGTTAGCAGCCCAACTCCTAACTAGACCACCAGGGTTTCTTCAACATGATGATCGGCAGAGAAAATACTGAAGTTGTCAAGAATTTCATTTCACCAGTGTCCACAATGAATACCCCCAGGGAACCAGCAGGGAAGCACTCAAACGACATGTTGCCTTGGGCAAATCTGCAAAGGACCTCTTTTCAATGTTCAAAAGCAGAGATGTCGTTTTAAAGGCTAAAGTGCAGCTGACCCAAACCATGGTAATTTTCAGTGTGAAAGCGGGGCAATAAATAAGAGTGAAGAAGCGATGCCTTTGCATTATAGTGTTGGTGAAGAATATTAAATATACTATGGGTTGCCCAGAGAACAAACATCTGGGCAAAGTCCATCTAGAATACTCCTTAGAACCCTTAGGGACCAGTCTCTTGGGAAGGCCATCAAACTCCGTAGCGAGTCAGTGACAGGACAGACGGACGCAGGGGCTGCGGTAACGAGCTCAGACTTGGCGGGGATTGTCAGGATGGGCAGGCCTGGGCAAGGTTTGGTTCCGTTGTCCCTAGGGCCACTGTGAGTCAAGACCGAGCGGACAGGTCTAACAGCAGCAAAGGGAATCCCTTGGCCTTGGCCGGGAAAGTCTGTATTTGTTCATCACTGACTCACCATACACCAGGTCAACAGTTTCTACACAAACAGTTTGATGGCCCTGGTTGCGGTCTTCAAATCATACAACCACGCTCGCCCACCACTTCCGAATGGTTGCCTCCCTCCCACGTAAGGTAAACTGATTGCCCCCTGAGTTGCCTGTCTAATCTTTTAACTTGCTGGTGTCAGTTTGATCACATGGAATAGTGCTCAAGGCGACACTGTTTTACTGGTCCAGACGAAACCGTTTGGTTTAAAGGAGACTACAGGGCAGATTTTGGGTTTCATGTTTAAGATGATCTCAGGGCAATTATTTTGGGTGTCCATCAAGTCTCAGTAGCTCCAGAAAGTTTGAATCCCAAGGGAATTTGAACTTTTGTAGTGAGTGCCTTTTCTTTCCCCCGTATTGGCCAGGATTCTTCTGTGTGGTGACTGAGCACCATATGGTTCTGGTCGCTTGGCAAAGAGTAAATGTTTTCCGAGTGCTCTCGGAGTCCAGGTATGAAGCAAGGGCTCCGGCTCCAGAAGGAACAGGGCCCCTCCTTGCCTGTACTGAGCTCCTGGTCTGGGGGGAAAGACGAGTAAAGTAACAGGACACTTGGCACGCAGTGCAACAAGAACTGCTCTTGGGAGCACAGAGGAATGACCCCAACCTAGACTTAATCCAGGGCAGGCCAACTTCCTGAAGAAAGGAACAGTCTACCTGGCCCTTGAAGGATGAGAAGGAGTAAAAAAAAAATCCAAAAACTCCCAGCCATTGGGATAGGGTGGAACTGCCCGACCCTCTGGGACAGGGTAGAACTGCCCCCCGTGGCTTTCAAGACTGTAACTGTTTATGGAGTAGAAAGCCTGGGCTTTCTCCCAAGGAGCGGCTGGTGGTTTCAAACTGCTTACACTGTGGATGTCAGCCCAACCTGTAACCACTACACCACCAGGACCCCTGAGAAGGAATTAGCAGAAGGAAAAAAAGGGAAACTGGTCCGTTCAACAGAGGAGTCTTGGCGGCATAGTGGTTCCACGTTGGGTTGCAATCCGCAAGGTCTGAAGTTTGAAGCCACCAGCCCCTCCTTGGGAGAAAGGCCGGGCTTTCTACTCCCCTGATCAGTTGCAGCGTCCGAAACTCGCAGGGGCAGTTCTACCCTGTCCTGCCAGGTCACGAAGCGTCGGCATCGACTCAGAGGCATGAGTTTTGGGGCAGTCCGGGGTGGGGGTGAGCTGGGGAGGAAAGGAGTCTGGAGTCTAACTGCCTAACAGGAATGTGGACTTTCTCCTGGAGGCAGGGCTGGGGCCCTCTGCAGGAGCCTGGTCAGATCACGTTCTTTCCCACGGAGATGGCAGTGCCCTCTTCATTTGTTCCAAGTCTGTTTCCACTGGCTAGGCCCAGAGTCCCGAAGGCTGGACCTCGGCTGTGTGGCTCTGTGCCTGGCTTCTAGCGCATGTTTCCTAAGTTCTGGTGGTTGAGTGGGTCCAGAAGGAAGCCGACGTGAGTGCGTGTGAAGTGACCTTTGTTGCAGTGAGGAGGATGGAGCCGAGGGGGTCTGTTGAAGGGGGAGCTGGTTGCCATCCGTCCAGGGGCAGTGGCTTGAACTGGAAAAGGCTGCTGGGGTGGAGGCATGATGGACTTGGGGAGGTTCTGGAGGGAGAAGCCATAGACACAGGATAGATTGGATGTGGGAGGCAGGGGAAGGGTCACTCTCGGCGCTCTCACCTGGCTGCCCAGGTAGGCAGGCGAAGGAGCAGTGACAGACGGGAGCAGCAGCACAGGTCTGTGGAGTGGGGTCTGTGTGTCGTGGGCGGGATGTCGGGACCAGGGAGCACTTCTCCCATGGCTCTCTGAGGAAAGGCGGCGGGAGTCTGACTAGAGTCCTAGGCCAGGAGTACACAGGGTCTTGAGGTTGGGGTGGGTGGAGGCAGGTATGAGGAGAATGGGCCCAGGGCTGGTGGATCACCATTACAGGGTGGCATCGAGGATGAACTGGGGCAGAGGCTCCATCCGTGCACCAAGGAGAGAGGCAGGCACCTGGCTGATGTTTTGTCAGGGCGGTGACCATGGGGAGCCAGGGGATGAGCTACCACAGAAGGCTCCTGAGAGGGTTGTCTTCTCTGAGAGCAGCGGGTGGGAGATCTCACCCATGGCTCTAGAGGTCGTTGAGGTTGTGGGCCCAGGGGCGCCAGATGTGGTGCTTCTTAGAGGGAAGGACAGGTTCAGGGGACAGGTGGAGCAGTGCTGACCGGACATGCCTTCCCTTCTCCGGACATGCCTTCCCTTCTCCTTAGGCCTGGAGGGAGCTCACCAGCAAAGGGGAGGGCGTGTCATGGGGAGGGAAGTGTTCTGGGGAGCCAGCTGGGACAGGGACTTTCCAGGGTTGTAGGACAATGAGCACCCTCTGGGCAGATGAGAGCAGAGCAGACAGAGAGCTGAGGCTCTGAGCTGAGGAAGCAAGACTTCGGTCTACCCTCTGACCGTGCAGCCTGAATCAGGACTTGCCTTTTGCCTGTCTCCTCAGCATGGAAAACGGGGCCGTGATGGAGCACTCTCAGGGGCTACTGCTTGATCTCCCACATCCCCATGTGGGATTGGGGCCCAATACCTCCCTTGCCGGAGGTCCCTGCCCTTGATGGCTGCAGGGGACAGTTTTAGGACAATAACCCCAGGAAGGACGCACACGGCAGGGCTGGCTGGGGGAGCACGCACCTTTGTGGAGCTCTTCCTCCGTGAGATTGCCCGGCTTCACTCCCGCCACGCTGTTGGCTGGGGGGGCACCGCGACTGAGTGGCACAGAGCATGGACCACCTGGCCCCATCACTTCCCAGCGTCAGGCCTCTGGGCAAGTTAGCTTCTCTAAGGCCTCAGTTGGGGCTCTAAATGGGAAGAGTTCTTTACAAACGGCAGTGGGGGCATGTCAGCAATTCCTGTCACAGCTGCTGGGGGTGTACAGGGAGGGATGCTGCTAGTGGTTCACATTTGCCAAAGCAGACAAAGGGCTCCGATGGCCAGCTCTGTATACACACACACACACACACACACACACACACACACACGACTTGCCAGGTGAGGAAACTGAAGCCGAGGGAGAGAAAGGGGCCCAGCCGAGAGTCCCATCCCTGAGGGTAAACTCAACCCAGTTCACCAAAAAGGGCAGTTGACGTGGGTTTCTCTGCTCATGATGGACAGAGGGGGCATGGTGGGCACGTGTGTACCAGAGGTTTCCCAGGACAGTGCCAAGGAGGCTTCCTGCACTCCGGGCCAGGAGACGGGTAGAAGGCAGCCAGGCTGTGGCCCAGGTGAGACTGGTGCCTGAGGGGTATCAGAGCGGGCAGGCAGGGAGGGAGGGGGAGGCGGGAGGAAACCCCTGGGCCTGGAGCCACGGCACACGCCTCACTTCTGCCCTCTGCTCTCCCCCCCACACCAGATTGAGGCCCTCCCCCCAGAGCTCTTCCAGTGCCGGAAGCTGCGGGCGCTGCACCTGGGCAACAACGTGCTGCAGTCGCTGCCCTCGCGCGTGGGCGAGCTGACCAACCTGACCCAGATCGAGCTGCGAGGCAACCGGCTGGAGTGCCTGCCTGTGGAGCTGGGCGAGTGCCCGCTGCTGAAGCGCAGTGGGTTGGTGGTGGAGGAGGACCTGTTCAACACCCTGCCCCCCGAGGTGAAGGAGAGGCTCTGGAGGGCCGACAAGGAGCAAGCCTGAGCGCTGGCAGCCAGTTGGAGCATGGGGCTGGCCCTCAGCCGCCAGCCAGCAGCAGGACCGGCCAGGAGGGCCAAGCTCTGCTCCTCCCTGAGGTCCAGGGACAGCCAGCCCAGCCTCTTGGCCAGGCAGGAGCCTGCGGCAGGCAGGATGTGAGCTGGACCAGGGCAAGTGGACTACCTGAAGGGCTGGCCCCTTTGACCCTCTGAGACTCATGCCCCCCCTTCCCCCCTCCCCCCAGGGCAGGCGCCTGTTGGGGGAGATCAGAGGACTGCGCAGTATTTGGACAATCAGGGCCTCCTCTCTGGAGGCCATTTCTCTGCCCCCCCCCCCCCAGCCCCCCCCTCCCCCGGGGCTGAGCCAACGTCAGAGGTCCAGGGTCACCTCCTTAGCTCTTGGTATTTATTTTCCTCTGCGGCCCATCTCTTCCCTCCCGATGACTTACACATTCCCCAGCGGAGGGTGTTCATGGAAGGGCGCGCTGGGTCTCTCCTTTTTCCCTCTTAGTGATGCCTCTGGTGTTCAGTGCCCACCCAGGCTTAAGCAAAGGGGCCCGGGCTGAGCAGCCAAGGGTGGTGGTCCGCGCTGGTGCCAGGCTGGGCTCTGGCAGCACAGCATGCCCCAGAGGAGAGCAGGCCGGTAGTGGAGAGGCCAGGCCAAGCCTGGGGCTGCCCCATCAAGCTTCTTGACGATTTTCAGATTTTTTTTAAGAAAAAAGGTTTTTGTTTTGTTTTAACAGTTTTCACAGTGGAGGATCTGAGTATTAAAAAGAGGGGCGGGGGTCATTTTGAAGGGCAAACAAAGACACTAAAGGCCAGTGAGTGGGCGACCCAGGTGAGGTGGTGGTTTTCCTCGAGGGGAGAAGCCAGACAGTGACTGGTGTGGAGGCCGCAGTGTCTTCCAGATCTACTGCTGCGGCGACCTGGTCTCCTGCTGCTTGTTCCTCTCCTTGCCCGGGGCAGGGTGTTGTGTTCCTTGTTTTATTTTTATTTTTTATTTTTTTTGGAGTCTTGTTTTCTTTCTTCTCCTGTGTCTTGGCAGGCACTCGTTTCTGTGGCTGTTGGCCAAAGTGAATGTTCTGGGAACTGCCAAGAAGGGAGAGGAATTGGGTCGGCTAAGCCCGAGATGCTGGTGCTCCATCCCCCCTCCCACAATGCCCCGGCCCCTCCCCGCCTGCACAGTGTTATGGAGTGACTTCACCTGCACCCTTCCCCTCCTCCTGTGTCATGGGTTGCCCTTGTGCCACCCCTAGTCTCAGCTGCTCACATCAGCCCTGTCACCACCCAGGCCTTCAGAGTGGACGCCTAGAAGGCAGGGTTGGGGTGGGGAGGTCCCCGCTAGGAGGGTAACCCTTCCCGCCCCCTTGCTCCCCACCCCGTTTGGGGTTCAAGCCAGCTTCTATCCAGGGTACCTGGCACCCGCAGCGCAGTCAGGTCTGGTGGCGGGGAGCCACCTTGCTTTAGGTCAGTCACTCGAGTCCCTGCCTTAGAGCAATCACTCAAGACACTAAGGCACATTTTAGCGTCGCACATCTTAACGAATCTGTCCGTCCGTCCAGCCATTTGTGTTCTCCGCGTCATGTCATCAGATGTAACCCTGAGAAATAATGCACACTAGCCTCTGACAACCATGAAGCAATCCGTTACTTTTGGGTCTGAACTTGTAGACTCGGTTCCAATATCAAATAAATCTATAACAGAAAGCCACCGCCGCCACCGGAGGTCTCCATGTCATGGGAGTGTGGGCGGACGTGAATCCCTTCCCTCGCCTCTCAGGCCTTGTCGATTAATTTGTTTAGCGTCCATTTCTTGGACACCTGCAGGGGCGAGTTCATTCTGCTCATGCCTCTGCCTCTGGAAGCTCCTTGGAGACAGGCACTGGACATAAGGTTGACAGGAGGCCCAGGGTATCTGGGGATCCCACAATCAGTGTGTCATCAGCCTTTCCAGTTGCCTGGGGGCTTTGCCCCAAGGATATTTGATGGGTGGGGACTGGGAGAAGAGGACTCGGAAATGGAATCCAGCCACCTTGTCTTCCTGTCCCTTCTCAAAGTCACCTTCTCTATGAAACTGGGTCATCCCTCCCTGCTGTGCCTTCAGCATCTCCATCTGTCCAACGGGCTTCCCACCTGTTGCTCTTGGGTCCTGTGCGATGCAAACAGCGGGTCCCCACAGCTCCGCAGAGGTGGGGCCAAGAGACCCCACGGCCCAGTTG